TGCCCCTTCGTGATCGGGCGATTAAATTCGCTACGTGTGCCCCTTCGTGATCGGGCGATTAAATTCGCTACGTGTGCCCTTTCGTGATCGGGCGATTAAATTCGCTGGCGATTTTAATCGCCGCGATCGGGCGATAAAAATCGCTCGTGTGCCCCTAGCATAACAAACTGTCGCTAGCTGCATAGATGCCGTTGTGTCGTAAGAGGTAAAACCACACGCGCGCTTTTCAAGTCCGTGTTCACTCACAGACAGAGTGAGAAGGATAGCAAGAAAGAGAGAGAGAGCGCGCGCGCGGTAGAGAGAGCTAGGGAGAGAGGAAAAGAGAGAGCGAGAGGAAGAGAGAGGGAAAGGGAGAGAGAGAGATAGAGAGAGAAGAGAGCTAGAGAGAAAGCGAGAAGGAGAGAGGCAGGGAGAGAGAGACAGAGGCAGAGAGAGAGAAGGGGGAGGCAGAGAGAGAGAGAGGCAGAGAGAGAGAAGAGGGAGGCAGGGAGAGAGAGAGAGAGAGAGAGAGAGATAGAAAAAAGGGAGAGGCAGGGAAAAGGAGAGAGAGAGAGATAGAGAGAGAAGGGAGAGGCAGGGAGAGGAAGGCAGATAGATAGAGAGAGATAGAGAGAGAGCGAGAGAGAGAGAGAGAGAGAGAGAGAGAGAGAGAGAGAGAGAGAGAAAGAGAGAGAGAGAGGATCATCATCATCATCATCATCATCATCATCATCATCATCATCATCAATAAAAACAACAACAAAAATATAAATGATAACGATGATGTGGCTGATGCTGATAATCATAATTATGGCTTCATGAAAATGAACTAATAATAACGTTATTTACTTCAATGAGTTGACAAGAATTATTGCAGCTGTAGAAACACCATTATATCAGACATGAATAATAATAGATATCTATTTTTTATTTTATTATTATTATTATTATTATTCACTCCATATTATTATACCAAAAGCGAATTAGGAATGTAGTACTTATACGCTCTTGATTGTATTCTGTTCTTTAATTGACAGATATTGAATCGTACCGATAAAATGCACACATACATACATACGTGCATTCACACACGCACGCACAGGCACGCACGCACGCACACCCACACACGCACGCACGCACGCACAGGCACACACACACACGCACGCACACACACACACACACACACACACACACACACACACACACACACACACACACACACACCACACAAACGTATCAGATCCACGTAATTGTGATAGTCGGTCAGAGTGCGAGCGTGCGTGTGTTTAATCACGTAATCTTTGTCATGCCGTCTGCGTCCTACGTCACGCAGCCACTGTCCGACTCGCACGTAAGTTTAACTCTAACGTATGCGTGTCGGGACCAGGAAACGAATCGGATTGACCTACTTGTCCAGTTTACCAGTTTATATGCTTATATGCGACCGGTTGCATGCTTGGTCATCCAAGCGAAGATGTTATTCAGAGATGGGCTTACACCGTGGTCTAGCAAAATGGCAGGCGCACACACGGGAGGGAGGTAGTTGATATAGGCAACCCGAAGAGAGGCTGAAGGTGCTAACACGCTTTGGATATGATTTGCCGACTCATATATCTCGTTAGACGTTGTGTTTTCCATATAAGATAATATATATATGATATGTGCAGTTGCAAATCTGCAATCGGTCCAGTTCAGTTCCAGTTCCAAATTTTCGGATTATTAACTGCAGTAATCTTAACTATAGCAAGAGTACCTACCGTCACCCGTCTCCTTTGGTTGCGTTAGCTTCGTTATATTTCGCCATTGCGTTTTTCCCTGCATGCGAATACGGACAGATAGACATTGCAAGTACTGCCGAGTTCATTGAATTGGTGCCTTAACAATGTAGAAGCTCGCATAGTACCAATGTTAATATATTTAATGACGGGTTTATTTGTGCATTTTTTTCAGCTACAGTGAGGGAGGCAAAACAAACGAAAACATGAAGAGGCAATTCTACATTGCGCTACTGTTGGTGGTGAGTTTTGCTGACAGCTAAATAATTATTATATTATAACTATAACTATTTTAATTAATTACAAATCCAATAGTTTTTCGAATATCCATAATATAATTTGCGCCACACGAGCGCTATACATTTTCCGACAGCACTCGACAATCTATAAACCATGAGTGCCTATCACTAACGCTGAGAGGGGCTATGTCCTCCAGGGTACTATCGGAGGGTACCCTGGGTACGGTTTGATATATCGGAACGTACCCTGGTACTATCTAATATGCCGGAACGTACCTCGCCTACTCCACTAACGATTCGAGGGAGTCGCCTACGCCTACTCCCTAACCCTGACCCTAACCATATCAGATAGTTACCAGGGTACGTTCCGATATATCGAACCGTACCCAGGGTACCCTCCGATAGTACCCTGGGGGACATAGACCCTATAAGCATCACTAACAGCACGGTTTGAGAGCAGAAGATCCCAAAGCGTAAGAGATTTCCCGATATGTTCGTTATGGTCCATCTCTTTTTTGGTAGTTCTACGGGCTATCCCACTCGTTAGCTAGGTGTGGCAGGGTTTAGCGGTCTTCTATGCCAAGTAGGGAAGAGCGGATACAACCGGAGCCAATCCATTTCGTACATTCTGGTTATAAGCACTGTAGTAGTTTCGGACTGTGTTCTAGCCCGAGAGTGAGTGGAGTAAATATACCGCTAACTACGTATGCACATACTCGCGCACGGTCAGCAAGGGAAGGCTACTAGCATGTTATTAGGTGTGAATAACAACAAAACGCTGTTTCAAAACTAAACTATTCGTTTCATTCACTCTTATTCACTCTGATTGATATTCTACGAGAGAAGTTACTGAATTGAGACATCTCTCTACCTAGTACCTTTTTTCGAAAATTTATGATCAGACATTCGGGGCTATTCATGAAGCAATAGCAAAATGCCTGCCAAATATAACCTTTATCTGTTATTGGGAATTAGATAGCAACTATCTGTGTAGTCTGCGTTACGAGTTGATCCTCGCCCCCACTGCCTGGCTCGTGACGTCACCATTGTGGTGTAAAGGTTATATAACTGCTGCGAAAGGTACAAGTTCGTGTTGAATGAATGTCGGATTAGCTTAGACAAATAATCTCGTCGCGGTTTATTCTAAGGAATTTTCCTCTAGACGAAATCCCTGGGAAAAGGATAAATTATTTCGTAGAAACAAATTATCGGATTTTACGACAAAGCATCCATTTTGTTCGCGTCCTAATCTTCTCGGTCACGCGTAACCTGTATAATACAGTCATTAACGATAGGTCACGCACTGACGAATCGCGTGAGAGAGAGAGGGAGTCGAGTGTTAGTTCGTAACAGTTACAATACGGTTCCTGACTGCCACCGCAGACGTTCCGTCATGCAGGGAGGGCGACGTTGTAGGGCGAGTGCGCTACCTCGTGGGGGCGGCTCCGTCCCGTCGAGTCTCTTCCGCATTTCTGGCCTACATTCAACCGGCGACACGGTCTTAACGTGAAGATGTTCCATCCTGGCAGCTTTGGTAGCGAAGCGTGACAGCTCTTAGACAGATATGAGTGAGAGATACTGTGTGTATATCAGCCTGCGGTGTTAGAGGTGTGAAGGCCCACTTAACCCGCGTCACGGCGCCTGAACCCAGAGCAGGTGTATCTATGCAAGCTGGCGCATCATGGCGCAGCAAGCTGCATCATAAAGCAATTGTCATCGAAGAGTGACTCGACAAAACTTGAGCTTGATGGACTCGGCCAGGTTCTTCATTTTTCCATTAGTTGTGTCCTAGTTGTGCCTGCCTGAGAACCAGTTGTATAGAGGGGAAAGTAAAGAAAGAAAGAGAGAGAGAGAGAGAGAGAGAGAGAGAGAGAGAGAGAGAGAGAGATGAGAGAGGAGAGACGAGAGACGGGAGAGAGAAGAGGAAAGAGAAGGAAGGCAGAATAGATAGAGAAGCATGGATAGACGAGAGAGAGAGATTAGAGAGAGACGAGAGAGAGACGAGAGAGAGAGAGAAGAGGAGAGAGAGGATCGAGAGAGAGAGAAAGAGCAGGAGAGAGAGGTCATTGCATCATCATCATCATCATCATCACCATCATCATCATCCATCATCAATAAAACAAACAACAAAATGAGAAATGATAACGAATATGTGGCTGATGCTCGATAATTCATAATCTATAGGCTTTCCATGAAAAATGAACTATAGATAACGTTATTTACTTCAATGCAGTTGACAAGAATTATTGGCAAGGCTGTAGAAACACACATTATATCAGACATCGAATAATAATAGATATTCTATTTTTTAATTTATCTATATGATTATTATTATTCACTCCTATTATTACCAAAGGCCCGAAAGGATGTTAGTACTACTAAGCTCTTGATTGTATCGTTCTTTATATTGACAGATATTTGAGTCGTAACCGATAAAATGCACACCATACTACACTAACGTGCATTCACACCACGCACGCCAGGGCACGCACGCACCACAGCCCCACACCGCACGCACGCACGCACAGGCACACACACACACGGCACGCACGCCAGGACACACACACGCACGCACAGACGCACGCCACGCACGCACGCACGCACGCACACACCAGCATACATAGCACAGACACACACACACAACATCACAACACACACACCACAACATACAAACACACACGCCACACACACCCAGCGCACACACACACACACACATACACACACACACACACACCAACACACACACACACACACACACACACACAATACACACACACTAAACAACGTGTGTGATCCTGTTCACTGTGACATTAACCGTGCTCCGTTCGCTTTCGCAGGCGGTAGCGTGCGCGCAAGACACCGCAAGTTGCCCCTAAAAGCATACGGCGCGCTTCAGCTTCGATTATATTTTCGGAAGCAAAGGCAAGCAGCGAAGCCGCCTCCGACTTCGACGACGACCAAGAAGAGGACAGAGCGACGACGAGACGCACGACGACGCGAACGACGCCCCAGGCCGGACCAATAGGCTATCGCCCGTACCAGCCTCTGAAGATGGCAGAGCGGTTGAGGACCAATTCCGTGTTACGAGAAAGGAAACCGCTGGACATTCTGTCGAGCGTCGCGGAAGACTACTGGCCACGACGACGACGACGAACGACGACCGAAGCCGGCCGACGGCCGCCGACGACGACGAGACGAGCGCCGCGCCGCCGCCGCCGACGACGACAAACCCGAGCGCCGACAACCAGAGCTAGTCGCGCGCCGACAACAAGGAGAACGACAACAAGGAGCACGACACCAGGCGGCGCCACCGCGTGGCACTGTCACGGACGACAACGAGCCAACGACACGCAGCTCCCCCTCCCAGTCCGAAACAACATCGGGATCATATACCTGCCCCTGGAGAACACGAGAACAAGCAGGTAAAGGACAGAAACGGGGATAAGACAGCACGTGAATTCAACATCTCATCGTTGTTAATAAAAAAATGACTATGGGCCCACGCGCCACCAACGATCAGTACGATCATTATCAACCATCGATTAGTGAAAACAATATGATTTGCTGGTAATTTACTCTCCTCGTGTATATATATCGATATATATATATACTATATATATAGGCATTATATATATATATATATATGTATATATATTATAATATATATATAGTATGTGATCATATCCATGCGATTAAACCGATTATCTTAATTACGTGATATAATTAATTCGTACACATCATCTCGACTCCGATTATACTACTCCTCCGAAGGAGAACAAAACTCACTATAGAGAGTAACGACTATTTCGCAGCGTGCTGCGCTGACGACGCAGTGAAGCGAGTGACGCCTGCGCTTATCCAGGAGGAACCCAGCACGGCTGCGCGGGAGGAGAGGGACGCAGGAGACAGCCGACACGCCGGCCTCGCTTCTTCCAGCGACCGACGACGGCGCACGAAGAAGGCCGGCGGGACGCGGGAGTTCTTTAACCGTTCCGCGACCGACGCCAGCGATCGACCCGCCGCGCGAGTTTTTAACCCGTTCATGAAGCCCCCCACGACGCGCCCACGACGCGCAGCCGCAGCCGCCGCCGCAGCCCCAGCCCCGCCCCATCCGGCAGAGCGAGAGGAGTAGAAGCCTTCTTCAATCGCGTTCCCACAACGCGCGAGAGGCGGACAGCAAATCGCATGAAGAGATTCCGGAGGAGGAGGAGGAGCAGGAGGAGGGTGTCAGACAGGGGTCGTGAGTGCGCCGCTTCCCGACAATACGGTTGTTACTCAAGGATGAGGAGAGCCGGCAAGACTTCGGAAGAGTCGGTGTTCCTATCGTCCGGTGAGCTAGAGAGAAGAAGAGAGTTAGAGAAAGAGCTAGAGAGAGAAAGCAAGTGCGATACACACACGACACCACGACGCGTGCGCGCGACGCACACACACACACACACACACACACACACACACACACACACACACACACACACACACACACACACACAGATAGAGGTCGAGAAACGGACAGCGAGAGAGGAAGAAAGTAGAGAGCGCGCGCGAGAGAGAGAGAGAGAGAGAGAGAGAGAAAGAGAAAGAGAGAGAGAGAGTGAGAGAGAGAGAGAGAGAGACGAGGGTGGCGAGAGTGTGTACGTGCAGGGGAGCTGGTGGAGAAATGAGCTTCCCATGTTACCGTACATTGCAATACATGCACAACAGACACCCTCGATAATAAAGGCTTAGCACTTAACGAAATAAATACTATCAAGAGTCCGTAATAGAAAATGGCATGGAATTTTCCATTATGGACTCTAGATAGTATCAATATAATTTACAAGTTCATAATGTAGATACATGTATTATAACATCGAGGAGTGAATAATATAGGAAATATCTGCCAACGACAGTATCATTCACCTATATAATTAAGTAAGCAACGTTCGTCTGTCTTCTTTGTAGATTCCAAATAGGGGTCAGGTCGTGGTAGAGGAGCGCCCGCGTCCGCAGCCACGAGGCGGTCCATTTAACCCGTTCGTGCGTGAGACAACCACTGATGAGCCTCACGTCGAATTCAACCCGTACGGACCAGGCAGCAGCAGAGCTTCCCGCGTTCGTGATCGCGAAGGATTCCTTAACCCTTACGACGACTACTACAACAGGTTGGACATCTTGTACGAATCTTCCAGAAAATCGGAGTAATCGATAAATCGAGGACGCATATATAGATAGGGCGAAGTGTGATGCGTGTCGGACGTGCCGAGGTTGCGTCACACTTTACACACTCACACTTGTACGATATTACCAGCCTGTTCTGCTAGCATCTATGACAAATACGACATACGCATATACGCTCTCCTATGACACTATTTGTCATAGGAAGAATCTTCCTATGACAAATACGACATACGCATATACGCTCTCCTATGACACTATTTGTCATAGGAAGATTCTTCCTATGACAAATATTGTTGTATGTGTTGTGCGCATCGTAGGAGTTTAGGAGCGCTATTATGAACGCAAGCAGTGAATTTCAGCTGTAAAGCGGAACGAAGTTGACTCGCCAATATTTGGCATATAGTGTCATAGGAGAGCGTATATGCGCATGTCGTATTTGTCATAGATGTTAGCAGAACATGTTGCAATTACGTATGTACATCCCCCCCCCACCAGATATGTGCATACAAGCGCATATTAAGAAGGCTTAATTACCTTCTTAATACGCTCTTGGTGCATGTAATAAGTGCGCAGGCATATACGACAGGACCCCAAAATCGATACAATACAAATCGAGATCTATGATGACTCACGCGTGACGATAACACGGTAGGTACGACCTTCTCTCGGAGAAGGTAAAAATTCGACAGCTAACGTTACCGTGATGTGTTACCGTTCCGCTAGAGAGGGCAAGATCCCCGACGAACCAGCGACGGGCGAGGTGGGATCATCAGCGTCCTTAGTGACAAATGGCGGAAGGGCGGACGGTCGGCGTGGTCCGTCGGTGTCGGTCAAGACTGACTCGTCGAAGTCGCTCGCCGGACGGGGCCGTAACCCATCCAGGAACATTCCGCAGGCGGCCCGCGACGCCGGCTTCTATCCCGAGGAAGTTACCGGCATCACCGTGCTCAGTACGTAACATCCCCGCTGTTGCTGTTGTTTGTTTATTTGTTGTTGTTATTATTATTATTATTATTATTATTGTTTTGTTTTTCGTCGGTGCTGCCTCTCTTACTGATTACGGTGTCGTTATTATTGTCATTATCTTTCGCTTCTTGTTATTACCTAACATATGCAAATGTTATGCAAAGCCATATCTATAGCTAAGCCGTGCGAATTTCGTTCCCCAGGTATCGATGTTCAGTGCGACATGAACAGAGAGAATATGCGTGTTGCTTTGAGATTTGACCATCCGTTTGAAGGCCTTGCATATACCAAAGGATATTTCAAGGGCGACGCCTGCAGAACGCTGGGAACTGGCAGGAATTCGCTTGTTTTCAACCTACCTCTAGATGGATGCGGCACTGAAGGAGTTCGCGATGTTCGTATACACGCCTTAATGTATAATATTGTGCGCGTGTGGATTGTAATAACGCGATACAACAATGAATGTTGTTTCCGAATCACAGTTGGTGGTCTAGATCTATGACAAGAAGGGATATGATACGCGAAGTGATTGCTCACACGCGCACGTATTTCTTTTTTTCTCTCTCCTTCTCCTTTCTTCTTCTTCTTCTTCTTCTTTGTCGTAGTCTCTCGCGGATGGTCCACGCTGAGACTTCTCTCTCGCTCTCTCCTTCTACACAGACCACCAACTGCGATTCGGTATAACAATACTCAAGGTTGTATTGCTGCGCCATCGCGATCCACACGCGTACAAGGATTCTCACGGACTCTACTAGAGTCCATCTTTAACTTTGAATTATTATCACGGATGTTCATACGTGTGCGTGCGCGCGCGTGCGTAATTTTCTTCGTGCGTATGTACGTGTATGTTTATGTAATGTACGTGTATGTTTATGTTATGTAATGTAAGTGTATGTTTTAGCAAACTTTATTTTAACAGACGACTAGGTTTGGTGGCACGGCCCGATTTAGCAACACCATCATTGTTATGACTCATCCAGAACTGGGGGTGTTGGAGGAATGGGATAAGGCGTTCAGAGTTACGTGTGACTTTGGATCGGACCAACTAGAAACGGTCGACTACGGAATCAGCGTTCCGTAAGTTTGAATTCAACCGCAATTGACGGTAACGGAAACAAAAGAAACATAAACTCATTGCACATAAAACATTAAAAAAACATTTACATAAAAAACATAACACTATAATAAAGAGAACGGCTGTTTGATGCTGGAATAAAGTAGACATATATAATCTCTCTGCCACGCCGTCTATCTTTCTTTCTTGCTCTACTCGCGCTGTCCCACCTCTCTCCATCTCTCTCTCTCTCTCTCTCTCTCTCTCTCTCTCTCTCTCTCTCCCTCTCTCTCTCTCGCTCTCGTTTTATCTCCCTCTCGCTCGCTGTCTCTCATGATACCGCATTTCAACGTTGCTACCTCTTGATGTTACAGACCGCCAAAGAGCAGCCTCATTGAAGGCGGTATGCCAGTACCTGATTGCCGCTTTAGAATCATCAAGGGTCCTGCACTGAGCGGCAGCGGTGTCCAACAACTCATTTTAGGCGACGTTGGCTCCCTCATCTGGGAGATTTCCTCGACCGGTGAGTGTGCGCCAACAGACAGCGATGTGATCTCAAAACGGTCTGACAGTTTGCGAAGCCTAGCGCAGGCGCTGCAAGCTGCAACCGCAAGCGATCGGTCGATGTGTCACCGCGTGTGATTAGATCATTTCGATGATTCCAATCGGATTTTAGAACGGATGTGTTTTGAAATTTGATCAGAGAAAACACGCCGTCATGACGGCGACTACTACTAAGGTTATTTGACCACGAAACATAAACATGCACACTGATCATAGTGCGTTGTTTCATCTTTCAACCATAACAGATGTGATTTGCGTGTTTGTAAAATTTGATAAACCTAATAAAAAAATCTAAATCCTATCTTTGATAGGATGATCGATGCATTGCACGACTTCTTGATGCGTTAATTAGAGCGCCCTCGTTGCTGCAATTCTCATGTTCGGGATTTAGTTTACATTACGCGATGAATTTATAAATAATTTATAAATAAATTTATAAATAATTTATTAATAAATTTATAAATAATTTATTAATAAATTAATAAATAATTTATGAATAAATTAATAATAACGCGTGGCATCTCTTTGTGACTGTACATATAGGTGCTTTTGACATCATCGCCACTAGCTGCTACGCTCACGACGGCATGGGCATGGGTCGTGTTGACCTCATTGACGAGCAAGGGTGAGCGCTGTCGATTTCTCCTACCATCGTTATATTTACCGACCATATCTATACCTACACCTATTATCTACACTATTATCATCTATTATCTACACCATTATCTACATACCTATACCTACCAGCGTTATTAATATACAACGAGGTGCAGGGGCGTAGCTACGGGGGGGCCTGGGGGGCACATGCCACCTCCACAAATTTTTTGTGCCCCCCAGATGCCCCCCCCCCACATTGAAAATTCATGCTTGATAAATGTGCCGTTAGAACAGTATAATACAAAGAAAAGTTATATATTGTGCCCTCCCCTGACGAAAATCCCCCCACGAAAATGTAAGGTCCCCCCCCCAGTGCCTCCCCCGCTAAAAAATCTTAGCTACGCCACTGGTGAGGTGTACATCTGGGTGGAGGGGTACATCTAGACTAGATACAATAATGTAACCCAACAAGAGTAGGGTTAGGGTTAGGGTAAAGGTTAGGGTTAGAGTTAGAGTGTTAGGGATAGGTTTAGAGTTAGGGTTAGAATTAGGGTGCTAGGGTTATGGATATGGTTATGGTTATGGTTATGGTTAAGATTATGGTTATGGTCATGGTTATGGTTAACGTTAGGGTTAGGGTGAAGGTTATGGTTATGGTTAGGTATAATATGGTTTGGGTTAAGGTTAGGGTTTGGGTTATGGTTAGGGTCAGGTATATGGTTAGGGTTAGGGTTAGGGTTAGGGGGTAGGCTTCGGGTACGTGTGTTAGGTCTGAGCGCTTGTCATCGTTTTTTTCCAGATGTCCGATTCACGATAAATTCATCAAGAATGTGCAAAAGGAGAGAGACGACCGTGGAACCCGCCTCGTCGCCAACTTCAAAGTCTTTAAGTTCCCGGATGTTGGCGACGTCTATTTCGACTGCCAGTGCAACGTGTGCGTGGACGAGTGCTTCCAGGTATGAAATTGCTTAGCATGACACTTCTGTCGTTTTCCCATTGTCGAAATAAAATGTCACATATATTCGCAAGGGGTTTGCGCTCCAGGCGAGCGATACAAATTAATTATATTGTAATAAACAACATATCAACATATCATCAAGATATCATCAGATACCTAGGTATTATTACCTCTTTGCATATATTTATAAAATGCTACTGAACAATTGATATTACCTGCTATAATGATCAATAACCAGTATATAGATAACTAACTATGCTAGACTATAGTGTACTGACCACTTACACCATACTATACTATACTATAATGACAACCTGTACCACACTCAAACATACTATCATGACAAATTATACCATACTAGATCATACAATGAATGACCATCTATATTATAGTTGACTAGACTACACTAGAGAAATACCAGCGTGTAGTGAATCGTTACGTCTATCTCTTACAGGCCCGATTAGTCATTATTTCAGCCATTCTCGATACCATTCTCGTGAAATGCAATCCTCCATCTCATTAAATTTCTTATTGCGTTTTAATTCTCGCTGACGCCATTTGCGAGCATACAGATGCGTGTCCTACTGGCGCCATTTGCGCGCATACAGATGCGCGTCCTACGTCCTCATCGCTTTCCGTCATTGATGATATCTGGTTCGTTCCTTTTTAGCCTCGTTGCGAGAGTACATTTACTGGAGGCAAACGGAGGAACAGAAGAGACACAGCGATTCATCTCGAGCTATCCGATAAGGGCGTGATCTCTGCCAAGGTCTTCAACAGCATGCACGTCTTCGTACCAAGCGACGACGAGGAATTGAAGGAAGGTAATGGCTATCGTCATCACTCATGGCTATCGTCATCACCAGCGATTTCGATAGCAATTGTTTACACTATCGCTGTATTGCATACACGCACGCACGCACGCACGCACGCACGCACGCACGCACACACACAAAGAAACACTCGCGCGCGCGCACACACACACACACACACACACACACACACACACACACACACACAGATACGCACACGCTGTACAAAAACGTATCGATCGCCACGTCTACGCACGCACTCCAACCGCTGTATAAAAACGTCTATCGTCAGACGACTTTTTGCCATCTAGAAGCCATCTAGAAGCCTTCTTAATACGCTCTTGGTATTATTAGTCCCTCTCTGGGACAATCATTCTAGTTATAATTGCGACGCACACTGGTCTTCTCTTATCTTTCGCATCATGCCGTTTTCATATGGTGTTGTATGGTATATTATTATTTATCGACGAAAAATGATTAATGCTAGGCGGAACTCGCCGAGCCTGCCTGCCACATACGGCTGCAAACGGCCTCGTAGTTTAGCGGGAAATCTGGCACATGAGCACATATACTCCGCATAGCATATAGATGATAGATATAGGATATAGGATATAGCATATTACGCATATAGCATATAGGATATAGATCATCATTGCCAATGAGAGAGGTTTCATCACGAAATACGGCTATAGTTTTGGCTACCCACTAAAGTTTTATCAAGAGCATATTAAGTATGTGTACCTACTATAATAATAATGCATACGTAATACGCGCTTGGTTATATGCAATAACTGTGACGGAATTAATCAGTGATCCAAGCAGTTATGCGATGTGTGACGTACAAACTCACTCTTGTTTTGTTTCAGAGCTGCGCCGTGAGATGATGATGACCGCCGAAGCTCCAACCAGCGCAGACGAAACGTGCATCTCAAAGCACGTGATCGCCACAACCACAGCCGTTCTATTGTTCTTCATCGTCATCGTCGTCGTCACCGTCCTGCTACTGATAAGACAGAAGAACCGACAGACGGAGGCCAAATCTTACGCGGACGCGCTGGCCCTCAGTCACCCACCGGCCTCATACCACTGAGCATTCGGTAGCATCCATCATCGTTACATCATTGCTACCCTCGCGTTAACATCTATTTATGTGATTAACTTCGCCATCATAATCGTCGTAAATAATCATCGCCACCGTCACTCACTATAGAAAAGCGGCCATTTTAATTTTTTTATTATACATTTTTCGCCATTTTCCACAAACAAGTCGCGTTCCTGTTTTCGTTATTACTACACCGCGGCCGTGCCAGACCATCATCACTGCCATCGTCAACGTTCACCGCCATCGCTGTCGACATAATCGCTACCATTGGCGTCACTCACGCCACACGCTCACAAATAACTAAAAGATGCTGTAGACGAAGCGCATAGATATATCACCAGGAGTCTATTAATATAGATAGACTCCTAATACGTGGCCGTGAGTGTGCGAGTACGTGTCTGTGTTTGGGTGTGCGTTTGTGTGAGCGATCTTATAGTGTGTAAACTAGTGACTAATCGTTTGCAGTCATTATCGAGAGATATTTAACTGCAGCTGCGGATAAACAGCTCTCACGATACTGCGTATTCATTTTGGCCGCTACACACCGCATTCTGTATATAAACATGAATGAGTACAATTTTTATTTGTCGTGTATGATTAACTCATCGGGCCCGACTGCCGGACACCGTTCATTACTTACATGTTCGTCATTGTACCAGTAGACGTAGTGTTCTGATGTAGAATGAACAATCACTAATATGTTGTCCTGCTCGTGGTCCGTTTCGTTGGCGCTGTCAAATTAAAACAATAAGGATTGACCAGGTTGCCGGTCAGCGCTCGCCAGACTGACTGTAGACCGTAAAAATGTTAGGCGTTGTGATGTTGAAGTCGCGCAAACTGAATCTGTACAACGTTGGTAATGAGCTCGATCGCACGCAGATTGTCAGCGAAAGCACGCTCACTATTTTACGTATCGCTAATTAATTAGCATTTGTTTTTTATTCTGCTCTTGAATATTCTGTACATTCTCATCTAAGCACGCTCACTATTTAATTCTCATTCAATCACGATCACTATTCCGTCATCCTGCGTGCGAGTGAGTACATGTGCGTATGTATGTATATGTATATGTATGTATGTGTGAACGCGTGTGTGCGTACGTGTGTGTGCGTACGCGTAGGTGCGTGTCGGCTTACAATCTGCTCGCAGATTCACAGTGACAACGAAAGTCGGTTGTATGAGAACTGTATCGCAATAAAGTCGTATTCCTTTTAGATTCATAGCTGTGCTTCTGTTATGTGGTGTGTTTTTGCGTCTTACATTGTTGGATTCGTGTGTGTACATGGGAGAGACTAGAGTCACTTTCTATATTAAGGGACTCTACCTGGATCTCTCCGTGCACACGAATAAACCTACACATATTTCTCTACATCTTCCAGTGACGATGCTGGCCTTTCAAACTGTAAACTTCGCTTAGAATTCTCATATATCGACTAACTATTGTCTGTATTTAAAACGATAGTTATATCTAAGATTTAGTGCTGGAGCAAGCCACTTAAAGGATTATAATGACACAATTAGAAAGATTTGGTTGAATCAAGTTTCCGTTAGCTAACCGGCAAATAATTATGCACTCATCTCGTACATATCTCTATTCGTCCCATTCGTAAGTGACTGAAGGCCCGCTCGAGTTAAATCTGTAACAATAGGTTTGACGCTACACGCAGGCGTGAAGGGAGAAGGGTATAGGCGAACAGCCAGGGGAGTAAATAAACCAAAGGCGAAAAGCAAATGTAGAGGGTACGATGTAGCTTCATTGACTCATAACGTCGAACGTGAATTCACACCGGCGAGTGACTGGGTCCCCCCCCGGGGGGCACTCGCCTCGGAACTGGGTAGGGGGGTGCCTCGGGGACCTTGAAAACCTGACCCTGTCGCAAACTGCATTGCGCCATAAAATACACCCTGTCCCAATATACTGCACTAAAAAGTATACCCTGTTGCAATATTGGTTGTCTATATTGGTTTAATATCGGCCTGGTGATATTGGCTCAATATTGTTTTGCCAATATTTAGCCATTATCAGCTTGCTTGCTGGGTATCTAGATAACCCTGTGCCAATAATGATGTTAGGAAAATATACCCTGTCCAGCGGCACGTCCCCAGCACCTTTAACAATGGGAGTGCACCCCACCCCCCGGTTCCGCCCAAACTTCTCGAACTCCCCCCGACGTGGATGCGCAATCCATATTCATCTTTCTTCCATCTGCTCCTACGCATCGTGCCTATAACCTAGATCCTTGACATTCTAGAACCTAGAACCTAGAAGAAAATAATAGAACCTAGAAGAAGAACCTAGATCCTTGACATCCTAGAACAGTAATTCTTGTAATTATAATGTTGAAAGAACTGTTATATTATATCAGATGCTGAAGGATGAGATTGCCGCGCAGTCTGTCGATCGGTAGAAATCTCCGCGCGATCTGTGTGACGTCACAAGTCACTGGGTCATTTGTTACAAAAATCGATGAGATTTCGAGTGCGACGTGCGCTCTCGGTTCAGTACGTATATGTACATGTATTCTGTGTACGCGTACACGCCCGCACGGGTACGTGCACACGCACGCACGCACGTGCACACGCGCGCACGTTTACGTGCACATGCACGCACGCACACCCGCACGTGTACGTGCACACGCACGCACACACGCACGTGTATGTGCACACGCACGCACGCACGTGTATGTACACACGCACGCACGTGTACGTGCACACGCACGCACGCCCCCACGTGTACGTGCACATGCACGCACGTGTATGTGCACACGCACGCACGCCCGCACGTGTACGTGCACACGCGTACGTGCACATGCACGCGTGTACGTGCACATGCACGCGTGTACGTGCACACGCGCACGTGTACGTGCACACGCGCACGTGTACGTGCACACGCGCACGTGTTCGTGCACACGCGCACGTGTACGTGCACATGCACGCACGTGTACGTGCACAAGCACGCACGTGTGCACGTACACGTGCATGTGTGCGTGCGTGTACACTCTCTTCACTTCTATGGCTGTGCCGCTTCAATGCAACAACAAAATCGTCGCCATCTTCAAGAGTGATAATTATTATACTAACTATATTGAGTATATTGAGATCAGTGCCTACATAGCACAGCTGGACTTCTCGATCTCACTGTAGGCCTCAATGTAGGCCTACAGTTTAGTGACCGACACATGCCACATAGGACACACACTGCCATCTATCGGCCGATTTAATTTGTATTATTGTAACGTCAACCAGAGAGACATGATACAAGATCGCGTAGCACAGCGTTGCTGTTGATCGTGATCTAAATCTATATCTATATCAGGATTTATCTTTTATGTCAAGCTATTGCGACGAGTATTAATTTGCTCAACATTTTAAAAGTATAACTGAACGAAATCTTATTATAATCGTCAGATATTTGGCACGCGCAAATACAGTGCCCTGCTTTTCTGCAGGAACATCTAATAGGGTTATACACTACGATTACCAATGTGCGAAATACGGATAGGGATCTTTCGTGTAAAACAATTGCTGGGTATATATAATCGAAGTATTGTTTCAGCATTTCACCTTCTCATAAATTAGATAAAGGCTATGTATACGGCTGCACATGCCAAATAAAGCTAGTTAAAGAGAGCCAACGGGAATTCTTTCTCTTGACAACGTAATCAGGAATGTAGGCAGGGCCGGACTAAGCGTGTGGGGGGCCCGGGGCACGCAATTGTGTGGGGGCCCTATAGTCTGTATTTTTCTGCACTTTCATGCTTGCAAATTCAGAGAGTATTTCATCGTGTTTCAACGAATTTAAAATTTCACGTTCGATAGCGAGGTTACCAGCGATTAGTTAGCGGTTCGTTAGCGATAGATAGGTTTACCAGTCTCTGTTGGCTCATCGTGGTTCTCATGTGATTTTTAATCAACTTGAATTGAAAAAATGACCTTTCACCGCTACAATTCGAGACCATCAATGAAAGATAGATTCTCAGAGCAATTTCGGTATTAGGGAAAGTGTCCTTCAGCTGAACAGCAAAATTCAGTCAGAGAAACAGCCTGGGAAACGCATCACTTCACCGTTACATGCTAAGAATTTTGTGGATCACAATTACGACAGTTTTGTAAATTTTAGGATACTCTAAATGTGGGGGGGCCCAAATGTGGGGGGCCCGGGGCACGTGCACCTGTTGCCCCGACCTTAATCCGCTAGTGAATGTAGGTAATCCATTTTGTCTGGGAAGGTGACTGCCATTAACCATGTATTATCAATTTTTTCTAGTGGGAGGCAGGCACAAGCCACGGCCCTGGTAACGCGACGATATTTGTTCAACATTTTAAATGTTATATGGCTGATGTACTTGGCAACTGTGAACACAGGGCCAACTCTAAGCTCCGTGAATTTTTTTTTTACACTAGACATATATTCACTGAAGTGATTGCTTCTCTGCTAAACTGTGCTTCTTTGGTGTAAAGCTTTTAAAACATCTGATTTTAAGCCCAAATAATTCCTTTACAAAGCATTCTTTCCAAAGAATTTGACAGAAATAATGTCCAAAACCAATGACAAGAACATAAATTCTACTTTCAGTTTCTGCTAAGGTGTGTCAACACTTGTAACCGTTGCTCATTTCCTCTAATTAATACGTGTATTCGCTGGAGTGTATGGAAGCATGTAAACAAAAACGAAGCAGCTTTCAGCAGTTTTTTTTAATTATTATTGAGGTGTATTAATTACAATGGCTACTGCTTGGTGGGTGGCTTGCGCGGTGCCTTCCTTGCAACGACAGGCCGCTGGCTTCTCAAGATAGCACTGGCTCGCCTTACGGCCACCTGCAAAGTACGTATACAGAAAGACTGTTGAATGAAATAAGTTCATTGGATTTCGTTGAAACTATGAATTCATATTTATCTTGTGTTAAATCCAAGAAATTACCTTACTATTGAAATTTTCGATCTCCCTTCGGGAAATCTTGGGTTAAATCCAAGAAATTAACTTACTATCGAAATTTTCGATCTCCCTTCGGGAAATCTTCATCAGGATGTGACGTCACCATAGGTGGCAGCAGGTGACTTACTGAAGACGAGGCCGCCCACCTGGGGCATGCCCCCTCGAGTGTAACATCACGAACTTGATGTCACCTGCTGCCACCTATGGTGACGTCACATCCTGATGAAGATTTCCCGAAGGGAGATCGAAAATTTCGATAGTAAGTCAATTTCTTGGATTTAACACAAGATAAATATGAATTCATAGAAAGACTGTTGTTTACCGACATTTGTGACCCGCTCCAGCATAATACGGACTAAGTCGCAAGTCATTGTTTTGAGTAATGAGCACGCACACATGTCAATGCTGAAAATAGTCTACCTGGACAAAAATGAGATGTTTACAAAAATAAGTTCCTAAGTGCATATTTAATCTGGATATATAGGTTCAGATATATCTAGATTATTATGGTCATTAATAATTAAAATAAATAAATAATAATAATATTTTGAAGGGCCCCTGACCGCTCATCCCCGACTGGGCCCCTTACCCGGTACGCTTTATCTCAAAAGCTGCATATTCAGGAATAAGTCGGTTTCCGATCTCCAAATTGCTGTAGATCGGTCAATTCTTTAGATATAGCCAAATATTATATATCATTTTAAAGGTAATTAAATGATCTATTCAGATATGCACATAACTCAATTTTTAGAATTTCCTACTTAATCCTGCTTTTGCTGGAGCGGGTCACATTTGTCTTCATTTACCCACGAGGACAACAAGGAGCACAATTATATACAGCAGTAATATCAATTGAACAGATATAGGTTCAGAAACCACAAGACTAACGAGAGTGCACGCTAACAAAGAATTACTTCAGATTTACTTTCATTCGAGAATTTCTACCTTTTTTAGGTCCTTGCGGTACTTGTTCTTAACGATGAACTTTCTGATGCCGGTGATGGTCTGTCTACCACCACGCTTCAACGTGACACGGTTGAACGCCTGCGCGGGCTTAGAACGACCTGTAAACGTTGCAACAGATCTGATATAAACCAACACTTGCAACACGTAGATACATACAGAATGGCTGGTCACTTGGGGGCACGGTTTTGTACAATAAAATGACTGATCTCAGCTCTAATGGTCGTGTGTAACTTTGGTGCTCAGTGCTTACGCCCCAGTTCTCCAATGTACGCACACGGGACTATTGTCAGCAATAATTCTGTCACCTTTCTTGTCACACTCACCAGATCTTTTCTTGGTAACCAGAACAACACCCTTGCCATCAGCTGCTGGCTCCAAACCGATTGTTTTCTGGTGAACCAATCCATTATAACGGAATGAGTTGATACCTTTCAGGTTGTTGGGTTCCTTTTGAAATAAATAAACAAGCCAAGCATTAATTTTACACGAAGATTGATGTATTACTGTAGTGAAATGTAATTAGTCATAAGCAACGTTTATGCCTTTTAACATATATAAGGGTTCTCCTTGGGTATTTCAGAAGGCATTTCATTTATGGATATATGCGGGAGGGCCTGGGAGAGGATTGAACCAATTGGAGCCAATACAAATGTAATTGGTTGCTCAGATATGCAGGTAAACTGTCAAAAGACATTCGGCTAAACAGAGGAATTGCTCCGATCTGTGATTGGAAGATAAAAATAGAAGTTGTGACATTTCTCAAGTCTGTCAATATATGACACACGTACAACTCGATTGATAACAAAATCTAGTCTAAGGGGGTGTCGGTGAGGGAAGTAGCTATTCCGTATTCAACCTTCCCCTGTACCTCTCTTTTCTATTTCTGTTCTCCCTCCCCCTTCCCATAAGATGTCAAACTTCCCATTATATGCTTCCTGTGTCAAAATGTCACATCAGTTGATGTTTTTGAGCTAATCAGAGGTTGGAGCAATTCCTGTTTAGTGATGTTGTAAGTACACTCAGGGAAACGTAACAAATTCTATTTTTATCTTCTAATCACAGGTCGGAGCACGGTGTCAAAAGTAACACAGCTAAAAATTAATGCGTGTTGTTGGATTTATTTAATCACAAATTAGCCTTAAGTTAGAAAGAATGTCCCAACGGACATGCGTTAAAGGCCCGAGTAGAACCCAACATATATACTAGCTGTAGCAGCTCAATGGACATATAATCTGCAGCTGGTTTTCATACTTCCTCTTAATCCACCATACCTTTGTAAATCCCTTAAACACATTTCTGCTCTTGACAAGGAAACAAGAGTTGTTCCTGATGATTGCCCACTGCAAATCTGCAGACATTTTGCTTGTGTTCTGTAATAAAAAAACACCAGTTTAGAAATCTAATCAAAAACATGCAGTTGTGACCACTGGCACTTGCAATCAAATATGAAAATACTCTTAATATTCACACAGCTTGATACAAATCAAACAAGCCGAGTGAAATACATGCTAAAAATCATGAGAGGAGGGTTTACTTTAACAGTAACATGCAGTTGGAAATTATTTCCAACCTCCGCACTATCTGAGTGACTGCCTGGGTGTTCTGGGTAAAATATTATCCGTGGGTATAGCGCCTAGCTGCATAAACAAATTGTTCATGCACGTCCGCACTTGCAAGATGCCTCCAACTCATCCTGCTACTCTATTAGTACTAGTATACTACAAGTAGTAGTAGTACTACCACTAGTACTAGTACTTAGGCTGAGAGGGTCCATGTCACTCAGGGTACTGCCGGAACGTAACCTGGTACTATCTAATTTTTCCGCAAATGCAGACGTTATAACTCCGCTTTGCTAATCTGAGGGTGCGGGTTTATCGTCTGCAGTCATCCTTGTAAAAATTGTTGCAATTTTTGTTGTGGGCATTGGATAGGTGAATCGAGTAGCACTGAGGGCGTGACAGGGGAATATCCGACACAAAATATCAAGTACAGACCTTCTGTTTGTCAATATCGCTTTCCGAAGACTTTATCGCTTTTTCAGAACTTTGTTTTCATGCAATAATTCATCCTAGTAAGAGTAACTTCGATATTTTTGGCCATATTGAACTGATTTTTCGATCGACCAATGAAATTCACTTCCGGTAGTTTCGGGTTCACTCGGAAATAATAATTCGAAATAGATAATAAGATATAGATAATAGATATATTAATAATAGATGGCGCGGACTACCTACCATGTTTCCTGTTGAACATTGGGAATAGCCGAAGTAACCGGAAGTGATTTTCATTGGTTGACAAATGTGAATGAAGACAGAACATTTTGTTTGGATGTTTATATTTACCATTAGGTTAACAACTTAATATATTCTTATGTTGTGGCCGCTACCAGGACATCATAGCGTGCATGCACGTAGATAAATGATTCAAGTTCAGATTAAAGTAAGTTCCACGCAATAGGATTGTATATATCGGGCGCATATATTACTTATAAGTGCCACCTCCAAACTGGAGATGGCTTTTCGTGATTGAGATAGACGCGGCCGCAGACCCCATTACTGGGGTCTGCATCGGCTTGGACTACTACTACTAGTACTACTAGTAGTAGTACTAGTACTAGTAGTACTAGGGTACTACTACTGGTATCTAATATGCCGGACCATACCTCGCCTACTCCACTAACGAGTCTAGGGAGTCGCCTACGCCTACTCCCTAACCATATCAGATAGTTACCAGGGTACGCTCCGGCAGTACCCTGGGGGACATAGACCCTATGAGCAGTACTTAGTAAATAGTAGTCACAGACCAAGTGTCACACGTGCAGCAACAAACCGACGACTCCATACATCATACAGGGTGCATTCGTAACGTGTTAACGCAGTCGCTACGTATCTTTAAATGAATTTAATGATGCACTGTACTAATACGTGGTGCTAACCAGAATATATTATGTGTATTGGAACAGCATGATAATAAATATGGTTTATTTCCGTAAGAGCAAAATTCTATATTCTTACTTTGGATACAAGTCAACGACGAAAAGACCATCCTTATTCGATTTATTAGCGATGTGTTCATCCGCCAAACACAAAGCCACAAAAACTGCTTCTAAGTTATTTATTTTGCGTGAACAACATTACATCTACAGAAATATCATTATTGGAAACGATACAAACGAAAACAATGTACAATTCTACTTTGTAGGGTTACTTTCATTAATACTGCGTGGAACTACTTGCTTTATGCAACACAGAATGCAATGCGGTCAACGCTCTTCCCAATAGATGGCGAGACGGTAGTTATCGTAGTCTTGTGTTTGTTGTTAGAAGTGTGTTCAAATAATTTTACATGAGACTGTAAGTGTAAATATATATAAAAATGATCAAATTCTTTCCATTGTAACATCTTTTATAAATCGGCCAATTGACAGTGTTTGTAAGTAGTACTAGATCACTAAGCGTATATGTAAAAAAATTGGTGACCAAGTCTACGAAAGGTACAAATTGAAATTCAGCCTACAAACCACGAAACTGTAGGCTACAACTACAGTACAAGTACAACTTACAAGTACAACTACTACAACTTACTTTACATTACAAATACAAGCCCTTCCCTAGCCACTGATCTCTATCTAGTTCTGAATGACGCTTAGCCAATCCACGGTGGTGAGAGAGTGATGGTGCCGTACCACTGCCGCTATTGTGCTGCTACTCCCAAAAGCTGGGGCCCGTTGTCAGAAACATCGTAAAGTTAATGCTAAAGTTAATGCTACGATAACACTTACG